TCTCTGTACAGTGAGAAGTAAACAAATAACATAAAAAAATCATTTTTATTTTCAACAAAAAAACACATTTAAAAATTAGCAATTTCATAATGACTTTTTTTAATTCCCGAAAATACAATTATAAAAAAGAAAATAATATTGAATTACAAAAACCAATATCTGCCAAATACGGTATCTAAAGACAATATGTGCAAATACGATATGCTGTAAATATGATATGATGCAAATACGGTATACTTTATATATAGTATGATACAAATATATGCTATAAATACGGTATGATGCAAATACGGTATGCTGTAAATACGGTGTGCTGCATATACGGTATAATGTAAATACGGTATGCTGTAAATATGGTATGATGCAAATACGGTATGCTGTAAATACGGTGTGCTGCATATCCGGTATGGTGCAAATACAGTATGTTGTATATATGGTAAGCTGTAAATACGGTATGTTGCATATACGGTATGAATGAATCCGGTTTCGTCCACTACAATAAATTTCAATACCGTATATGTTGTCTACCGTATTTGCAACTTACTATATATGCAGCCTACAGTATTTGCAGGCAACTTACCATATATGCTACCTACTGTATGTACAGCTTACCGTATATACCAATTTTCGCACTTACAAATACCTAGAGTGCAGAACACCCTACATTCACTTATCAAACCGAATGTCAGAAAAAAATTTCAGATATAAAATAAATATTAAAATATATGAAGGACAAAATATAAAACGCATATGAATATGCAAGTCGATTTATAATTATGCAGTGGCACATATTATACATTTGAAATTTCTTATGTCGGTGCAAAATAACTTTGAAGTCATTCTAGAGCAAATTAAACCACTGCAATGTCTATACTAGAAATACAATTGTGCAAATTAATATGAATTAAATCTACATTACATGGGACTTGGATTTATTTATAACAAATGTTGGTGATTAGTCTAATGACAATATGTGCAAATACGGTATGTTATAATACTATATGTTATAGTTAAGATATAACATACTATACGTATATGTTATAATACAATGTTTAGCATAATTAATGAAAAATTATTGCTGTACAATTTTTTTTTGTTATATTACAGCAATATACATATTACAACATATAGCTTATCGTATATGCTATAATACAATCTGTGCGGTCATGCAGCGACTTTTATTTTTTTTTAATTTAATCACGCAACCTAATATTTGTTTAGTTTGTTATTTTATTAGTTAAAAATATGCATTAAATATAATAAAAAAATATAATTACAAGAATAAGTTTAATTTCAATATAATACAAAAAAGAAATCTCAAAGAAATAATCATTGCTAACAACAAAAGAATTTAGAAAAATGAAGAGGACAAAAACGAAAAAAGTAAAATTTGTGAAAAGAAGAAAATGAAAGCATGATACTAAAAAATTTGGCATTATTGTTTGAATGGAAAATGTTTTATTGATACACAAAAGAATTTTGCAGTCACCAGGTTAAAAATATGGATTTATTGTGTTGTGAATTTTTTTTTTAAATAATCGTAGTAAATCTTCTTATTACGATAATAAAATTACAATAATTTTTTTTTTACAAATAGTATAAAAAAATCATTTTTATCTTCAACAAAAAACACATTTAAAAATTAGCAATTTCATAATCACTTTTTTTTTAAAAAAAATTCCCCGAAATAAAATTATAAAAAAGAAAACAATATTGAATTACAAAAGTCAATATCTGCCAAATACGGTATCTAAATACAATATGTGCAAATACGATATACTGTAAATACGGTGTGCTGCATATACAGTATGCTGTAAATACGGTATGATGCAAATATAGTATGCTGTAAATACGATCTGATATAAATACGGTATGCTGCATATGTGGTAAGCTGCAAATACGGTATGTTGCATATATGATATGTAAAGTGCATATACGGTATGAATGAATTCGGTTTCGTCCACTACAATAAATTTCAATACCGTATATGCTGTCTACTGTATTCGCAGCTTATCGTATATATAGCTTACCGTATTTGTAGGCAACTTACCGTATATGCTACCTACCGTATTGCAGCTTACCGTATATACTGATTTTTGCACTTACAAATATCGAGAATGCAGAACACTATACATTCACTTACCAAACCGAATGTCAGAAAAAAAATTTCAAATTTTTTATTTTTTCAACATAAGCATAAAATAAATATTAAAATATATGAATGACAAAATATAAAACGCATATGAATATGCAAGTCGATTTATAATTTTATGCTCAATCTTCAATTTTTCAATATTGAATTACACAAAATTTAGAAATATAATCTTCACATTCAACTCAATCATATCAACACTATCAAAGAATACAAGCAAAATAGTTTGTATAATCTCGTATATTTCTTATTTAAGTATGAAAATACAAGCATATTTTTTCAGATAACACAATACTGTTGCAACTGTAAAAATAGTTTGCAATCATTTTCTTATATCATGGAATATTTCTAGATATTACTTCAAAAACTTAAAAAAAAACTAAAATTCATACGCTAATAAAAATATGATAAATACAAAATTCGTGCAACGCACATGACTGCGACTAGTACTAAAGAAAAGAAACAAAAACACAACTTAGTGAATATCCTTAAAGACGTGACCCACAAAAAAAAATTTGTCACATGACTATCACCACAAATACCAATACATTGTTCATTGGAAGCAAATAGGTACGTGAATCTATTCCTTTTCATCATCTTCTTCTTACTAACGAAAAAGAAATGCAATTTCATGGATAACGTTAAAGCCACATCCATCAAGCAAAACATGGTCACACGACTCATCTTTCGAAAATTTCGAGGTCATTAACTGGAATCAAATAGGTAGACAATACCATTGCTCGTCTTCTTACTAAAAAAAGGAAAAATGCTATTTCATTAATATGCTTAAAGCCGTGACCCATGGAAAGAACATTAGCAGACAACATACATCACAAGTATCCAAAAGTTGTTAATCAGAATCAAATAGGTAGGCAATTCCCTTTCTATTCTTCATACTAAAGAAAGAAAAACTTACGGAGTATCTTCAACTAAGATGTTGATGAATTTTAAAAGATTATAAATTCTAATGAATTTCGTGGATTTTAATAAATTTCCACAGATTTCATAAGAATCTCATCAAATATAGCAAAATTTCTAAAGATTTGACTCTACGTATTTTTAAGCTTGAAATCAATCCAAAACTTCTAAAATTCCTCTATTAATGAAATCTTTATAAATTCACTAATTATTGAGGATACCTAAATTTCAAAGGATTTCAATGAATTTCCTTAAAATTTCAATTGTGGACATCTAATCTCAATTGTGGACACCTAAATTTTGAAGGATTTTTAAAATTTATCACAATCTCAATTGACCCATGGCTAAAACATTATTCCACAACTTGAGCCATGAATATCTAAAAGTATGGAGTCAAATAGGTAGCGACTCCCATCCTCTTCTCCATACTAAAGAAACAAATACTCGCCCCCGGGGCACAACTCAACTGGTGGATCAATCAACATTGTCTTGCTTCCAGCGGCAGGGTGGAGAGTTCGATTCCTGGTGGGAACTTGCGGCCAAAAATTTGGTATGGAGCAATCACTGTGGAGGAGGATCTCTTGTGCGCAGAAGTATATAGACAATAGGGGGAATCTGTGATCCAGTTGAGGCATAACTCGCAATTTACCCCCTCCAAGGTTCTAGGGGCAAGGGTCTTGGGAGTCCAGGATTTAGACTGGTGTAAGCTGGGATACCTGCATATCAAAAAAATAAAAAAATAATAAATAATAAAAATAAAATAAAAAGAAACAAATACTCGATTTCATTAATACCCATAAAGCCATGACCCACTAGAAAAACATTATCACACCACGCACGCCACAGATACCCATAAGTTGTTCATAGGAGTCAAATAGGTAGGCCACTCCTTTGTTTTTTTTTTTAATCAAGGTGTATGCTTTCGGCGACTATTCCTTGGGTCTGTGATCCGGCCCCTCTTCGCACAGACCAGTTAAACCAAGGGATGTGCCTCCAACTGACCAGGGTTCGAGCACCTCTCCAACTGGACTGCCAAAGTGTCTAGTGAGCCAACCCATGTTGCGCCTTGCCTTCCAAGACACTACTACCTTCCAGGATAAAGCTTGCCTTCCAGTATGTGCCTTGCCTTCCAAGAGCTCTAAGAATTGAACACCCGTCCTTTGCCAGTGGAGAAGTGCCCCAGGGGCTAAATATCATGAATTAAAGTAAGGCCACTCCTTTCTTCGCCTTCATGTAAAGCAACGAAAAAGAATTCCTAGGGATAAACCATGAGACGCAACTCACACCACGAACACGCAAAAAGGTTGTTCATCGGAGTCGATTATGTAAGCGACCCCCTTACCCTTCTGCATAATGGGAAAAAAAAACAAATTTTTTGAATACTCTTAAAGTCATGACCCAACAGACAAAACATTATTCAACGACTCTCCAAAAATGGATATTGTGAGAAAGTAAATATTGACATTTGAATTCTAAATCTCCGTTGTCAGGCCTAGTAGGTAAACCCCTCTTCTTAAGAAGGCAAAGTGCAAGTTTCCTACGTACACCTAAGGCTCAAGTGATGAAAGCCCTTTCTCTTGTGCTTGCATGGTAAGTGTTTCCCATAATATTTACAATAATAATGGTTGAATAGGTTCAGAAACAGGAAAAAGTGGGACAAGCTGACTTGACAGCATGTGGTTGGATGTTTGTTTCTATTCTTTTTTTTTTCAAACTGTCAAATCCTATGTCGACATGTGTTCCCCTGTTTTTTAACCTGTCTTTGAGCCTGCTTGCGTAGCATAATTGTAATATTTAACACATCACAGTTACATCTCATAATACCATAATTACATTATTCTGCTAAACCGAGCTAGCTACTCTTTAAGGAAAAAGAAAAACATATAACTACACAAACGTCTATATCTTAAAATTTACCAGAACACCTTCGTCATCTATTTTTTCTTACTCTTTGGTTACTTTGCGAGTTGAAATACAATGTAGCTGCTGGCAGTCCAAGCTCATTCTCGCCAGCGAACTTACGAGTGCTGAAGTTTTTACGCTCGACTAGCCTGGTTTTCACAGTTTCCATTACACCTTTCTGCTTGAAAGCCACAAATACGTATTGGTGAATGCCTGTTGGTGGTTGAGGTCCCATGTATGGCATCAACTCTTTGCCTGCAATAATAATCCAAATCCAAATATTAAACAATTTTTATGATATCAAGGTCGGCATAGAACTTGACAAAATTTATTTGAGATTATAAGTTGATCAAACTTTAATTACAACAATATATTTTATTGGATCACAATTTTATCGATTTTTCAACCACACAGAAGTTTTGTCAAACTAGGTCTAAATAACAAAATAGTAGAGTCTAAAATAACCTTCACTCGCATCAGCTCCCTCTGGAATATTTATGACCATCCTGCAAGAATCAAAATCAAGAAATCATGTTTTAGCCTAAACCTCCACTTGGATACACAATTTATAAATTGTTTTAAATTCAATCGAAAATGTGTGAATATTCGTGAGACCTCATATTATTTCTTTTAATAAAAGATATATAAAATTTGCAAACAGTGGCTTAATTTAAACAAATATATATCCATTAAAATTTTCGTTTATTGAAATTCGTACGAGAAAAAGAAATGGGACAAGACTTTGGTGACATAGATAACGTGTTTCATCTCTCTACATTAAACTTTTATAAGACGATAATAAGCATGACTAGTAATTATATGTAAATTAGCTTATGAAAGAAATGGCAAGCAGAAATTCATAGGCAACCACTGTTTGCATTGCATAAAAGTGATGGCTAAGCGTTATTTGTGGCCATGACAGCAGCAATTTTCATTGTGTGACAGTGTGAGTGCATTTTGTGCTCGCCAAAAGAAACAAAGGAAACACAAGATTTCTACTTTTTTTCCCATAAATAGTGTTAAGGATAAAATTTCACATCGAATAAAGATAAATAAAGACTTGAACAACGCCAACTTAAAATGTTAGATGCCTATGGAGCGGTGGACCCCTGTCCTTCTCCTTAGTTTCTAAACTAGCATAATCGTGGGACATCAAAAGTGAGAAGTTGATTGTTGGGGCTGCGCTCCAATTGTACACTCCCTTCGTTCTACAAACCCTTGCCTGAACATTCTTTCAAGTCGGATGTTGATCCAACAGATGTGACTACGCATTACTCTTTTCTTTTGCCCAAGAAGCGAAGAGAATGAGCTCGGCTGCTTCTCCTCCACACTTCTTTTTCTCATAGAAAGAAAAGGACATTGGATTTGATACATGAAAACAGTCGGAAAGAGAAATGCTTTGTTCGTATAGATCTCCTACCTCGCCTAGACAATCACGCGACGAATCTTAACGCACGCTGCCTGGCACAAAAAAAACCTTTTGAGATGAAATCTCAAATTTTAATATGGTATTAGAGTTCATTAAACTCTAATGAGCAATCCGATCTAATTAAGTCTCAACAACGAACACACGTTTACAAGATTGGTCTGCTCAAACGAGCCACCATCTTACGAGACATGTTAAGCAATAAAATCTCACATCATTATCCGATGAAAATATAGACCAATTTATAAGGACTTGATCTACGTTAAGCAATTAAATCTCACATCGTTATATGCTAAAAATATTTACCAACTTATAGGGATTTGATCTACTTTACTTCAATAGAAGGGTTTAATAGGCAATGCTACTAGTAATATTTGCCAGTGGAGCCACTCTCTGAAAGTTGGTTCACTCGGTCTTGGAGCATCGGGATCAACCATTACCTAAAAACAGTCAATCCAAGTCAGGTTAGATTCAATCAACACGCAGAATGAACTTTTTAATTTAGTTTGTAACAATTGTGGAATTACAAGAGTATAATTAGGAGAGCCACGAGAACCACTGATATGAACGTGAGGTTTTTCGGCAGCCGACGATGGATTGATATCGCAACCGTTAGCCACAGGCGTTGATTCATATTGCACAGTCAACTCGGCAGCCGGAACGAACTTATCAATCACATCTCCGATCACTTTCGTCGTCACTAGGGGATCCACTGCAGCCCTAACGTTCATGAATTTACAAATCAAATCAACACAGCAATGCACTAATTACGAGTTACGACTATGTGTTTATTACTCCAGATGATATCGGATAGACAAATGAAACAAGAGTAGGAGAGAGAAAGTCTATTGCGTTGACATGTGGTGAAAACTTTTGTTGGCCGACACGTGGCGAAAACGGTTGATTATGGATGATCACCACGTGGATTTCTCAATAGCCCTAATTGTCATCTATTATTTTACATTCTATTACATTATTTTTTCTACAATACTCATTTTCAATCACACATTCTTTATTAAATAATATTACACGCAAATAAAATTTTTTTATTTATTTTTAATCACACACTCAACATCAATCACTATTTCATAACACATTTTTCAAAATTAAAGGGGCTCAAACACTCTTTATTCTATTCAAATTAGCCATAGTACAGAGCAAATTTCAAAGAATTGGACACTTGGCACAATTTCATCGATAGTTGGCAAAAATATAAACAAAAACCTACTAATCATGTGCTGCACTGTAAGATTCTGTGAAGAGTACTTGGAAAACTTTCCATAGTAAAATAACTATCACATCCTCTTGTAACAAAGGGCGGACTTAGACATGTTGTGTTAGAGGGTCGTAATCAAACTTTCAAACGATAGATAAATTGTAAATGATAGTGGCGTTCGCATTCGATAGATTGGAAGAGGGACAAAGACACAAAACTGAGTTTGGAGCCATCGGTTGCATTATATATTTATCGTGTAAGTTTTAAACATTGACATTCAAAAAAAAATAATAAAAAAAAATTCAAAAACTGGGGGGGTCAATTGACCTTATATGCCCCGCCCGGTCCGCTCTGCTTGCAGCCCTTGGTTGAGCCCCATTTTAGGGGGGAAATGCATTTTAAATATTGTATTGATGGAAAATATATCGTTAAAAAAAAGAATTTTTTTTGAATTTACGTGTAGTACTATTTTATTAAAAAATGCGTGATTGAAATAATGTCAAAATAATGTTTAAGAATGATTTTTTTTTTCAAAGAATGGGACTCACATAATTTGGAATGTATTTTAATTATGGAAGAATATTACATTAATACACACACACACGAATAATTGATAAATAAGAAAGATTTAAAAATGGCGTTATTTATACAAAAGCGTATTTAAAAAAATTTTAAAATTTTAATTTATTTTTCAAAACAAATATTTTCCTATTTTGTAGGTCCCACATTATATTTTATCAAAATCTATTAAAAATCTAATTTTTAGCTCCACTAAAAGGGACACAAAAAAATTAGCTAGAGTGATGTACGCCATGATACTTAACAACTGTCCAAATGGCGGAGTCGGGTTTTATGTTGCAGGCAGGGGCGAAGGGAGGGTTTGACGAGGAAAAATATAATTTTTTGATGAAAATCCAATTTTTTTGGTGGATTTTTTTTTCAATGTATCAACTAAGTAGTAGTAGTAGTAATAATAATAATAGTAATAATAATAATAATAATAATAATAATAATAATAATAATAATAATAATAATAATAATAATTATTATTATTATTATTATTATTATTATTATTATTATTATTATTATTATTATTATTATTATTATTATTATTTGTCCCATAACTTCCCCTCTAGTTGCGAGGGCAATTTTTTATTTTAAAAGTTAACATACAAATAAATTCACACATAACCAAAAAAGACATTAACATAACATTATCTATTAAAATAGTGTCCGACTGGATTTTACAACATAAAATTCATCTATCATAGAATCAACGTCTAATGTCATAATAAATTCTCTTTCGATATATAGTGTCATACAATTAACATGAAATCATCATCCATTTTAATTTCAGTTGTCATCTTCACATTTTTCATTGTCTTCTATTTTAAAGATGCATAAAAATCAAAACACTTAAATACCTACAATTGAAAAATAATTCACTAGCAACAATTCAACTGCTTATCTAACTATTTAACAATATTATAATCAGTCAATAATCCAACAATAGATCCAGTGAATCATAAATCAACCATACTCCAATATAAAATGGAACTCAACGTGCTAAAAGGCCAAGCTAAGCGAAGTACATGTCAGCGAGTAGTTTATGGTAGCATAAGTTGAGTGTGACATTGGAGCGACAACAACAACTATTACAAACCAGTACAAAAGAAAATTGCAAGCAGAGTGTGAAATTCAAGAACCCTGAAAACTTCAGTCCGTTCATTAGATTCATAGATTGTATAATCAAAATCATGAAAACTTTCTGTTCTACTGCAAAAGAATTCAGGAAAACTTTCAAATCGTTCCTCATTATTACTTTTCTTCTTCAATGAGGGTTACATTCTAACATTCTTTATTAAATATAAAGACAAATGCAGATGAAATAATGGAATGAATTCTAAAAAGCAACATTATAAAGAAGAGAAATAAAATAAATAAATCAGTTAGAAAAAGGATAATCATTTTGCTATCAAAATTGTAATGATGGATGGATAATAAAGAAGAAAAGTTGAAATAAATGGGTTTTTGAGTTTGGTATAAGAAATTGAAACAAAATTTTGGTTTTAATGTTGGGATGGACTGGTGAAATTGGGATGTCGTGTGTAGGTGGGCTATGAAAATTGTGTTGTGTTGTTGTTTATTGTTAGGCTATGATTTTATTATTATTATTATTATTTTTTTTTAATGCATAAGGGCTTGGGTAGCACCGGTGTAGTCCAGTGCAGCCATCCCCCATATCCTGATATCCACCCATGCGACCTTCGAAATATGATTTTTAAGAAAAAAATTTAAATAAAGATTCTCAACGAAGATAAAATTGAGGCTAAAGAGAGCCCGTATTAAGATATTTGAACGCTAAGTTATTTAGCCTTTGTTTGAGCCCCATTTTTCTAAAATTCATTCTTTCGAAACTTATCACATTTTTCAATAAAGTAATATTATATGCAAACCTAGAACTTTTCCTCAATTTTCAACCACAAATTCTCTATCAATTTACTATTTCAAAATATATTTCTCTATAATAGAGCTCAAACAAGGGCTTAGTAGCACTTTTGAGAAGTCAATCCATCAATCTATGTAGGGATGGCAACAGCCCACTCGGGTTGGGGAGCGAGGCATCTCGTTTAGTGTCTTATTTATATTTTCCCCATGTTTGGCTCTTATTTTCTAAACTTATTCTTTTCAGATTCATTTTCTATTATACATATTTTATATGATTCACAATTTTTATCAATTTTTTAACTTTTATCAAAATCTATTAAAAATTTAATTTTCAACTAAACCAAACATGAGTTTTATTAATTTTTTTTTCAATATATTTTACGGTAGTTTGAAAATTGAGCTAATGAATTTGGGCATAGAAAATTGGATTAATGTAGGTGAAGAATAAAAAAATTAAAATTAATTTTATTTCTGAACAATTCACCCGTTAAAAATCCATTGAACTACCGATTTTCTCACTGACCCACTAGCCCATTTATTATTGAACCGATTGGGCCTTAGTCTTTGTATACAAGCCCACTCACAACACTGAGATTTTCCCTCTGACTCTTCAATCTTCACAATTCAAGATTGTTGCAAAATCAAAAACCCTTTGCCATCTCCCTACAGTTCAACCACTCCCAAAAATTTAAATCTTCAATTTCAAGGTGTAATAGGAAGAAGAACATATAAGCTGAATTTTTTCCTTTTTAGTACTGTTTTCGCCATTTACAGACTTGTTCTGTAATTTATTTGTGGTTTCCACAATATAGTAATTGATCTTATGGATCATTTATGGTTTAATTATGAATCAATTGATTTGTGGCATCAACATTTGATAGTTTAGCTGAATATTTGACCGTAGACAATTGCACCATGAATGATTCTATGATCAATATTGTGTTAAGTCAGCTTTGCACTTATTATCTTGTATTGAATGGTGGATTTTTCTATACGAGATGTTGTGCACAGATATTAAATCTTATTGTGAAGGATGGGTTGGAGATTATTAGTGGTGGTGTGAAGAAAATCCGTGATAGTAATGCTTATTGGACAGCCATGCCAAAGAGATCTAAAAAATATGAGCTCTTTGCACCTCAATTGAAATTTAATTGTGAGAAAAAAATGGTGATTGATTGTAAAACACGGTAGAATTCCACATACTTGATGCTTCATATTGCTTTGATTTATAAAGATTTTTTTTCTCATTTGAAATATAGGGAGTCATAGTATAAATGTTTACCTAGTGATGATGATTGGGATTTGGCAAAAGAAATATCGCAAAAGGTTTTTTTTTTTTGTTTTTTTTTAAGGTTAATGAATTGTTTTCACGAAAAAGTATCTAAGTGCTAATCTCTTCTTTTCAAATATGTGTGATATCAAACTGTCGTTGTATCAGTGGCTTGAATCTCTTTATGAGGGAGTTCAAATGATGACAACCAGTATGATGAAAAAGTTTAACAAGTAATGGAGCGATATTCATAGAGTTTTGACTTTAGCAGCAATGTTGGATCCAAGGTATAAAATAATGTTAATTAAGTATTATTATCCTCATATTTTTAATCACAATGTTGCAAGTGAGATTGAAAAAATTTATCAAGTTTTGTGGCAAGTTGGTGTACGATTATTAAAAAAGAATGACTCAAGTGGGTTTGTAGCTCAGTCTTCTACTTTTTCTTGTCAAACCGAGACGTCAAGTGTTAATAATAAATCAGAGCGCACAGCTGGTGTTTTATAGATTTGTTTCCAATGTTGGAGCTCCTAGCAATGTGAAAACTGAGCTTGATACTTTCTTGGATGAGTCTATATTGCCTCGGTCAGATGATTTTTATATATTAACATGGTGGAAAGTAAATACAATCAAATATCCGACTTTATCTCAAATTGCAAAAGATATTTTGCCCATCCAAGTATCTACAGTGTCGTTCAATTTTGCCTTCAGTACTAGTGGTAAATTTGTTAATCTACACTGAAATAGGCTTCACCCCAAAACTTTGGAGGCTTTAATGTGTACTCAAAATTGGTTAT